AACCGCGACAATCTGCCCTCCCCAGAGAAGGATGGTGCACTTGAGCAGGTGAATTGCTTTTACCAGTGCAGATGAGAGGGATATCCATGCTTTTCCAAGGCCAGAAACGTTTCCCTGTTCAAACTAATTTTCCTCAACACTTTATCCAGACTAATATTGTATTCTTCAGACCCCAACTACATCACAGTGATCTGCAGCTGTACATAGACTGTCAGAGCCTCCCAAAAGTGCTACCCCATAAAAATCACAATTTTCTTTCTACCTTCCTCCCGCACCAACATTTTCTGCTTGGACTCACTGAACCCTGCACACCTTGTGATGATGGTTCTTGAAGACAGTGGTCATATTTCCTAGCAGATCAAAGTGCCTGTCTCACAGCTGGATGGATGGATGGATAGATAGATAGATAGATGGATGGATGGATGGATGGATGATTAAGGGTGTCTGCGATGGCCTCTAAAGACAGCTTTTTCAGGGTTTTCCTCTGTCCCCAGTCTTTCAACCATCACCTGCTGACCCATTGCTGTATATGCCCAGGCAGTTCTGATCACTTTCTGAGTGAAAAATTCTGCCACGTACTTTGGTCTCAAGAGCGAGTCACTAACACAAACCAAAGGAGGACAAGGACACTCCTAAAGCAACTGCAGTCTTGTCTACTTCGGACTGCAGAAGACTTTTATCAAAAGGGAACACAAAGCAACTTGAACATGCTGCTCTGGAGAACAGCCCCTCCCAGCAGAATTGACTGAAGCCCTGGTTCAGGAAATCTGCTGTTCAGTAACGACTCAATCCTTCCTATGTGACACCCTTTTCCCTTTCCCCTCAAGATACCAGGGAGGATTTCATCCCTATCTAAGTCCAGAGCTATTGTCCCAGTACAACCCTAGCTACTAGCATTTGAAGTTATATTTAGTGTTCTAACTTGAGTGGGAGTGGCATGCCTACTAAATGGTCTTTGGAGCCAGTGGTGGTTGTTTTTTTGAAACATCTGTCTTGAATTTCGACAGCGTGATTTAAAAGTCTGAGGTAACTGGAATTAGGTATCTCTGCCACACACATAAGACTGTCCTGTGCAGGGGCTTACACTCGTGATGTTCTAAGTTTTGAAGCATTTGGCCTACGACTGATATCAAGCTTTTACGTGCTGTAAGTGTAGGGTTGGTAGAAAGGGACACTAGAGATCTGCTGTACATAAAGAGAAGCTTATCTTTTTCACATTCGTGCTATTTCAGCAAGGACTTAGGACAGGACAAGCGGGAAATGGACCCAGTAGTAATTTCACTTAACTCACCACATCATTTTTTTGTCCAACAATGATTTTTCTCTTCTTTGGAGTTGTTTTGGGAAATATCTGGAACAGTAGATGCGTCATATCTTGTTGCTACTCGTTCCTATTGGATAAAATGGGGAAACAGAGGATGACAGAATTTCAGTAAACTGACTTCCTCCTATAGCTGAAAGGTACCATGTGCATACGCTAGTCAACATGTTGGTATAAAAGAAACTTCTCAAGAACCTTATTTAATTATTTGGCACAGAGTACCATATTTATCACTTCTTCCTTGAAAATAGATTATTTGTACTATAACAACTCTCTGGCACCTCAATCACAGATTGGGATTCTACCATGTGACACATGACAAACATACCAACAACAGAGTCCCTGTTCCAAAGAGTTCACAGGGTAAAGTATTTGGCAAAGGAGAGCAAATAGATACTGACAGGGGAAACCTTAGGAAAATAACCACACAAATGAACAAGGTCACTATGTGCCAATTCTACGGACAGAGCTGTCCTCCAGAATAGAACTTCTTATAGAGAAGGAAGCACAGAAACAAATTCCTGACTCTGCAAGATACTGCAGCTGTTGCAAGAGATTAGACATGTAGCTGGACTCCTGCCCTGCTCTAGGTGAAG